TCTCTTTTGTAATACTGGTTACATTCCCCACAATAGGACAGCTCGCCTCCCACCTTGACCCGGTGCTTACCATTCCCTTGTACCCTGCTTGCCTGTGCGTTCCTGCCTCTCTGTTTTTCTCCCTGTGCAGATGCTGCCCTTCTGATCTCACATGGTTGACTGTTCTAAGGAGTGCATCTCCCTGGTATAGGTGTTCAGCTCGTAGGCCTATCTATTGAGTAAGCAATGGAAGTGACTTCAGTTCCAGGCCTGACTCAGGGCCATAGTCTCAGGGGTTTCACCAGTGTCTATCAGACCAGTAAGCCTGGTCTTTTTAAACTGAATTAATTACTTTAATTAAAATTAAAACCACAGTGAGATACCACTTCACCCCCAGTAGGATGGCTCTGATAAAAAAAAAAAAAAGAAAAGAAAAGAAAACAACCAGTGGTGGTACAAAAGGGGCAAGGAGGCCACATGTTTCGACCTCCTCTAACCGCACAAGAGGAAGCCAGAATCACCATCAACAGCCCAAGGCCTGTTCCTGCGAGGCCAGACATGCTGCCTCCCTCCAGCCCTTTCACCAACCGATCCTCCCAAAGCACCCATCACCTCTCTCCTGGGTTCGATAATTTCGCTGCAATGGCCACACAGAACTCACAGATTATGGGGTTTATTAGGGAAACTCCAGGCTACAATTCAAGTTCAGGAAAAATGTTCAGTCTCTCTCCCAGCCCCCAGTCTCTCTCTTAACAGTCTCATACAGTCTCTCTCCCAGCCCTCCGTCTCTCAGCCAAGTCTCTCACAGTCTCTCTCCCAGCAGTGCGTGTCCCTCGGTGTCTCACTCAGCAATGCGTGTCTCTTGCGTCTCTTTCCCAGCAGCACGTGTCTCTTTCAGGAGCACGTATTCCTCAACCAGCAGTCAGAGAGAGACTTCTTCTGCCTCTAGGAGGCCTCCTTTTGAGCCTGGCAGAGTGGCCAAACTAACCAAACATAACATCAGAATTCTAAGCACCTAAGAGAGAGCAGGAACCTCCCAGAACGTTGCTTTGTGTTGTGCCCAACAGAAATACCCCAGGTGGATACCTTTTGCAATCAGGAGCTCCTCAGTTGCTCACAGCAAATTCCACCACAGAGTTTACAAAGACTTAGGGCTAGAAAAGCCACACTAAGTAATTTACCACACTGCAGGTGGTGGAGATGTGGAGAAATTGGATGGTGCAGAGAGGAGGACAGAGCATGTGGGCAGATGAGCGCAGAAGGGCTAGCCTTAGCTACACAGCTCAGCCACGTGTCAGCTCTGTGACCTTGGGTGAGTCACAGCTCCTTTCTGAGGTACAGTTTGCTCAAGCTCCTCTGTAACAAAGTGAGGACTGTAGTCCCTGCCTCAGAGGGTGGCTATGAGGACCACTGGTTCACAGTTGTACAGTGATCTAGCACATGGAAGGAATTGATGCATGCTTTTTAAAGTGTCTACTTAAGAATTTGATTTTCTGTTTTACTGATTTGTATTCTATTTATTTATTTTACTGCCACTGGGTTTAATTTGCTTCTCTTTTTCCAGCTTCTTAAGATGGATGTTTGGATCATTGACTATACACTTCATTTTAAATATTGGCTCTAAAGCTATAAACTTCCCTCCAAGCATTGTTTTAACTGCATCCCTCAAACTTTAATATGTTGTGTTTTCATTATTGTTCAGTTCAAAATATGTTCTGATTTTCCTATGATTTGTTTGACTCACAGGGTGTCATTCATGGTCTAGTCAGGAGATAGAAACCACACCAGTCATTTGAACAAGGAGAATATATAGAATTTTTGACTGATGTGATGTTTTTAACCAGGTGCTCAAACAGTAAAAAGATTATCATGGGGGTAAAACCCTCAGAAGGCAGTTTCCAACTCTTAAGACTAAGGGAACAAAGTGAAGAGGTTGGGAGTATTAAACTTGGAAATTAAAGGCAGGGCCCAGGAAGCTGACACGCAGGTCTCTGAGGGGCGACACTGCAGTTGGGGCAGTGTGTGGTTTGCAGGGAAGGGACAGTGAATGGGTTTCTGCTGCAAGTGTCAGGAAGCTGAAAAGTGAGTGATGCTGCTGCCTTATGGGGACATTGCTGCCCCCAGAGTGAGGGAGCATTGCCGGGACAGTGCTCACGGAACCAGGAAAAGGAGCAAGAGGAGAAGGAGCCTCCTCTTGTCTTCCAAGGGAGCCCTGCTGGTGCAGTGGTTAAGCATTTGGCTGCTGACAGAAAGGTTGACGGTTCAAACCTATCAGCCACTCCATGGGAGAAAGATGTGGCAGTCTGCTTCTGTAAACATTACAGCCTTGGAAGCCCTATGGGGCAGTTCTGCTCTGTCCTATACAGTTGCTGTGAGTCTGAATCCACTCAAAGGCTGTGGGTTGGGTTGGGTTTCTTGCCTTCCATTCTTCCTCTCCCCCCGGTGGCAGAGATTAACACGGAACTAGCCAGAAGAGCAGAAATGGGTTTTACAGAGCATCACAAAGCCATGTGTAAAAGGACGAGTATGTGACTGAGAGGCAATAACTTTAAAACCAGCACATGTAGGCTATTTAGAAATGTGGTTAAGTTCTAGACATTTGAGGGGTTTTCTGGATGTCTTGGATTTCTAGTTTAATACAGCTTTTTTTTTTTTAGTTTTTTCAATTTATTTTTATTGTGATTTGGGTGAAAGGTTACAGAACAAATTCATTTTCCATACAGCAGTTCATACATATTTTGTTTCATGACATTGACTGTAATTCCCCACAACATAACAGCTCTCTTCCCCCTTCTTCCCTGTAGTTACCTCTTCCCTGTGTCCTTTCCTGTGCATTCCTGCCCCCTGAGCTATGCCCCTGTGCAAACACTGCCCTTCTGTTCTTCCACAATTGATTGCTCTAGGGAGTGTATCTACCTGATGTAAATGTTCACCCTATATGCCTGTCTGTTATTTGGCTAGAAGCCACAGGAGTGAGTTCAGTTCCAGACCTGAAGGGTAACTGGGGGCTGTAGTTTTAGGGGTCTCAGCAGGTTGTATCAGACCAGTAAACTTGGTCTTTTTTATAATTTTGAGTTTTTTACCATATTTCTCTCCCACTCCATCCAGGATCTCCTGCCTGGATCCCTTTCCAAGTGGTTGACAGTGGTAGACGGGGACCATCTAGTTCTTCTGGTGTCATGGTCATATAGGCTAAAGATTGCATGGTCTGCTAGTCCCTTGGACTAATTGTTTCCATGCATCTTTGGTTTTCTTTGTTCTTCTTTGCTCTAGACAAGGAGAGACCCATCGTTGCATCTAGATGTTTTCTAAACTTCCTCAGAAAAGGCTCCTGAGAAGGCATGGCTATCCTCCCCACCCAGGCATGTGAGGTCAGGGTTTCACAGTTTGTCTGCACCCAGAACCTCTTACTCTTTCTCTTCTGTGAACAGAACCACTCCTTAAATCTGTGTTTGGGAGTAGGAAGTAGTTGGTGATGAGGAGAGGGGTGTTGTCTCAGGTACTCCAAGGTCCCATCCTCAGTTCAGGCATTGAAAGTCCCTCATCCACCAGGAATGGACTCATACAATGTAAATAAGGTCGGTTCTTGACAGTCCCAGGGTAGGAACCAAGATGTAGTTGGTTGCAGGGCTCATGTTTCTCTTCATTAACCCAGCTTGTACTAGATCGGTGGAAAGAAGATTTCTTAGGAGGAATTGGGTAGCTCACAAAACTTGTCACACTGAATCCAGGGCTGTCCCATCAGATCTGCTCTGTTTCTGCATTAGGCTGTCTCCTGCCCTGTCAGTCCCCCAACTCTTACCCTTGCTCTTCTCTGTGATGTCCTCATTCCTCTCTCCTCAACACTGCTTCCTCCAGATTGAGTGGATATTGCCACAGCAGCTCAAGCTTATAACATCCCAGCTTAGTGACCCCGGGAAAAGAGAGCTTCTCCCTTCTGCCTTAGCATATGAAATAGGATTCTGATAGAAAGAAGGATTCTGATTGGTCCATCTTGGTGATCTCCATGACCAAAGCCACTTTTTGGACAGATTACTTTGTCCAAGAGGATTAAGTTCTTTGATTAGCCAGGCCTAAATCACGTGCTTATCCCTGTAGCCATAGTTAGGGTATCATGATTGGCAGCTCTACCAAAACTTTGTGGAATTTCAGGGTGAGAATGGGGAGCAGGAATGATGACTCTTATCCAGAAAAAGGAAAGCAGACTCTGGGTACACATCCATCTCATGTTTTCTCCAGGACACCTCCTTGACCAGTATATCCAGGCACCAAAACAAGTCATAGTATTCATCTAGGGGTTGATTGGCAAACATGAGCAACAGTATCAGGGAAGAGGCCTGGTGTATTGTGTTGGGGAGGGTTGTCCTGTGGTCTGGAGAAGGACGGAGGCAGCCCTCCTCATGGTAGAAAGTATTCTGGGTCCTGGAACCTAGTATCCAAAGGCTCTGGCTCTAGCTCAGAAGGATACTGCCTTTGAATCTGGCTCTGCCACTTCCTAGCTCTAACACCCTGGGCAAACGACGTAGTCTCTCAGAGCCTCAGTTTTCTTGTAGGGTACTTTTGATGAGTCAGTGATATGTTGCCCTGTTAGGCATTCAGTGAGTGCTTATTGTTGCTTCTGTACCTGCATAATTCCTGCCCACCAGTCCATTTGTGTGGGTCTCAGAGTCTTTCTTCTTGTTCCATGTTGATTTCATTAGACCAGCTCTTCCCATTCTGGGCCCCAACCCCCCTAGCCTTAGCCTGACTACTAGCTGATGTGCTCACGGGACAGATGACCTTCAGTGGTCTGTCCGTTTCCAGGGAGCTCGGTAGGTTGCCCACCAGGACAGTCACCAGAGGGCTACAGAATGCACTGCAGCAAGAGGGCAGCCTGGGAGCATTGAGAAGCAGGAAGAATGTTCACATGTTTGTTTGACCCTGCAAGGCAGTACTCCCTGGGCTGGCCTTCATGTGAAGTGTGCAGCTAAACAAATGTGAAATATTCGGGCTCCATCTCCTACCTGTTTTCTGGATTGTAGGAAGAATGGAGCCAAAGAGAAATTGTGAGTGTGGCAATGGCTCAAGCCCTAGAGGAGGTGCGGAAACAAAGAGAAGAGTTCCAGCAACAGGTAGGTCCCAGGCAGAACCAGCCTAGCCTGCCTTCTTGCTTGGGGGGAGGGGGGTCGCCATCTGTTCAGGTGAGGGAGTGGACACAGTCTTAGGGAATGCTCTCAGTTAGGCCACTCCCTGTGGTGTCCAGGAGAGTGGGAGAAATGTTATTTTAAAAAAAAACCCTCACCCCAGAGGATGCTTTTGATGGTCAGTTATTATTAGATGTAAACATCACCTGGAAAAAAGTCCATACCCAGCTAACTTCTGGGCTCTGAGTCTGTGAGGCGCTCTGTTGCTGCTCACAGGCCCAGAGGCCACAGTAGAGCTGCCGAAACATTTTGAGTGGAGCTATTAACAGTTCGTGTGGGGGCTCACTTTGGAGACAGATTCAGCTTCAGGCCCCACATCCTCTAGTTTATTGCCTCTGAGGCCTTTCCTAAGTCCTTAGTCCGCTCTGAGAAGGTGATCCCACCTAGCAGCATTTTATAATGAGGTAGTGTGTGTCGGAGGCCCACCCAGTGCAGGTTGTAATGCAGGCACTCCAGAGATAGAAGTTATGGTTGTGACAGCTTGTTGGAAGGCTGGGCAGAGGAGCAGTGACAGGCGGTTGCCCCTGTGCAGGGCCCCCTGCCAAGGAGAATGGATGTATGTGTGTTTATAGGAACCGGGGTTAGCTTGGGGTCTGTCCTAGGCTTAAGGGAGGGATTCTGTAATGGGAAAAGTAGCGACTCTTTTGCAGGGTGGGTTTGCTGCTGCTAACCTCCCTTCCTGTTGGTTTTTCTCACCCCAAGGCTGCTAACCTGACAGCCGTCATAGATGAGAAAGAACAGAATCTGCAGGAGAAAACGGAAGTGGTTCTACGGAAAGAGCAGGAGATTCTCCAGCTGAAAAAAGGTGAGGAGCTGGCCCTGGCTGAGCAGACCCACCTTTTCCTGCCCTGAGGTGGGCCAGCCATGGGCCGAGTGGGGTTGGCTCACTGTGCACCCCTGCGCTCTGCCTGGCCTAGGTCATGACTCTGCCCTGCTGCAGATACACCAGCTGCAGAGTGAGCTGGGGGTCCTGAGGAGTGTGAGGGCAGAGGTGCCCGGGGCAGCTGCTGTACCGGCGGACCTGTGGAGGCTGCCAGGCCACGAGCAGGGGCTGGCACTCTCAGCCCGTGAGCCTCACGTAAGTCCCATCTGTGCTGCTGGGCCCTGTGGTGGGTTGGCAGTGTGTGTTGCAGCTGTAAGTTGGGAAGAGCTCTGGTGTTTACTTGATATGGCATCTCGGGCAGGTTACTTTCCCCTCCGCTTTTCTTCAGAGTACGGGTGCTCAGCTGACTAGGAGCTTGTAAGGCTTTATGAGCCCATGGTATGTGGCAACCCCTCTTAATATTCAGACATGAAGCACTCCTTTCAAACAGAAACATGGTGCCTGGAGAGCTAATTGTTCCTCTGGGAGGCACTGAATGGGATCTTCTCTGTATTCCAAATTTGGTTTCTGGCCAACTGCCCGTCGAGGCAAACCCATCCACACCTTTAGAGTGAGTCTGGCTCCCCTTCCCCATGTGCCTGTGGCTTGGCTTGACCGTTACCTCTCATGGCTCCTCAATTTGCTGCCACCACCCTGTAGGTCACCCTAAAGGCCAGGGAGGACCCCATGTACCAGCTTTCAGCTGCAGAGGGAACACCAAATGGTGAAGTTGGGACCATGGATCCAGGGCAGCTACAGAAGGAGAAACAGGACTTGGAACAACAGCTTATAGAGAAGAATAAGGTGAGGAAATTCTTGGCCTGGCTTTTTACATCTCCACCCTTCCCCTGCCTAAACTAATTCAGTCAGTCCCTTCTTAGAGGGCTTTGCTGATGTCCTGGGTGCCTTTTGAGAGGGATATGACCTCTTTTATCAAAGGGACTTCCTCCTGATTTGACTCTCCTGTAGGCCTCTTGCAGGGTCTTCCTTTCATGCTCCCCCCTTACCTCCCGCTCCTCGGGATGGTTCATACAGTGTTCAGAGTGTGAGAGCCTGGGCGTCTGTGAGCAGGACGGGACGCGGTGGCGGGTCACTTCCCGCACAGTTCTTGTGCTCAGTGGAAGTTCAGTCAGTGCCCTGATCCTGCCCACCCTGCCAGGCCTCGGCATCTATAAATGCAAAGTCTCATGTGATTTTGATTTTTTAGGGAAGTTTAATTTGCTGGCTACTTATGGCTGTGGCCTGAAATTCTACCCCCAAATTGTGTGTGTATATAATTCTTTCAGATTTTTAAAAAAGGAAAAAAACCTCACATTCATCCTTTGTGTCTCTTACACTCACACTCTTACTCTTACTTACTTTCTACTATGAATTGTAAAATACATAAAGTATGCAAACAAACGTATGGGTCATTGAATGAGCAGAAAGCAAACGTGCATGTCACCACCCCCCTGGACAGGAATCAGAATGTAATCATGTCCTCAAAACCCACTGCCGTGGGGGAGTTCCGACTCCTAGTGACCCCCATTGGGTTTCCAAGGCAGGAAATCAGAGCACCGGTGGGTTTGAATCACCAGCCTTCTGGCTAACAGTCAGATGCCCTCTTAATAACCTAACCACTGCCCTGACTTGTATGGAAATTACTTCTGGGGTTTTCTCTCTAGTTTTACCACTTCAGCTTGGATCTCTGAACACTGAGGTTTAGTTATGTCTGCTTTTTCATGTAAGATAAATACCCCACCAGGACCAAGGGTCAGTTCCTCCTCTCCCTCACGGACACCTTCGCTCCCCACCTTACCCAGCTGACTCCACCAGCCGTTGTCATAGTCACTGCCTTGTCGACATCCTCAGTTCTCCGGCCTCTCTGCCTTCCTCATCCTGCTCTGGCGAAGCCCCAGCTCTGTTCAGTCGAGCTCTTGCAGCTCTCGCCTACCTGACTCTGCATCTGCAGCTGTGGGGTCACATGTGGTTGGGGAAGAAACAGTCACACTGGCTGGTCTCCCCAGTGCCACCCAGCAGTCCTGTCAAATTTAGATGGGCCTTCACACTCCTCTCCTCTGGTCACAACTTCTTTTCTCCTCTCCATTCCCCATCCCCAACTCCTCCTCTTCATCCTCTCCACTGATAGCCCTGCATTCTCATTAACTGAGAAAACAGAAGAGTTTCCACACGCCCGGCGCCCTGGGCGTGGAGACCCTGCCACCTCCCTGTGCCTGTGGTGACTGCTCGCCTGGACTACATCCCTGCCACTCCCGCTCTCCGCTCTGGCTCCGTCATCATTTTTCTCTGTCCTGAGTCATTCCATCCACTAACAAGCATGCTGTAATGTGAGTCATCTTACAGGAGCGCTCTGAACTCAGGCCCTCTCCAGCCCCTGCCGTGGTGCTCAGCTGTCTTCTGTATCATGATTTGCTGTGTTTGCTGCCTCTATTTTCCACTCTTCTCTCTTTAATCTAGTCCAGTCAGGCTTTTACCCCCTACCACTGCACAGAGAAATATTCTCGTCTCGTCCAGCTTATCAGCACCATCCACACTGCTTATTTTCCTTCTAATTTTCCTTCCAATTTGACCTGTCAGCAGCAGCATTTGACAGACAAGATCTCTCCATCCTTGCTCTTCTCCTACCTGCTCCTTCTCTGTCTCCTCTGATGGTTCAGTCTCCTCTGCCTGCCTCCAAACACTAGAGGTTCAGAGCTTCGGCCTCTTCTCCCAGTCACATGCACTCCCTTGGTGATCTTACCCAGAACCATCCACTGCTGTCTGCACTCCCAGGAACTCTAGACTCATGGGGCTGCCTCCTCTACATCCGAATGGCTGAGAGCCGTCTCATACATAAAAACATCTAAAACCGAACATCAGACTTGCCGTGCTTCCCATCTTCACCTGCTGCCTTTCCCGTGTCAGTAAAACCAGGGAGTCATCCTCAGCCCTTTATTTAACAACCAACATCCGAACGATCAGCAAGTACTTTTGGCTCTGCCCTCAGACTCTACACAGAATCAGCTGCTTCTAACCACCACCACTGCTACTCCCTCACCCAGGGGACCATCATCTCTTCTCTAGAGGATGGTAGTAGCCTTCTCACTGGTTTCTTCATCACTCCTCTGGTCCAGCCCTCTGGTAACTTCCTCCGTCTCTAAAAACCAGAGTCCATAGTGGCCTGCAAAGCCCTCTATGCTCAGGCCTCTTTATTACCTGATTCACCCCATCTTCTGTCCCCAGCACTTCCTCTCAGCATGCTGGCCTTGCCTTTCTGTGAATATATCAAGCATCTTACCACCTCAGGCCCTTTGTACTTGCAGAGCCTTCTGTCTGGAAGGTTCTCTCCCACTGCCCCTGCCAATGTCTGCCCTTTTACCACAGAGCTTCCTGCCTCCCTCCCATTGCTGTCATTTTTCTTCATAGCTCCTAACTCCTTCTGGTGTGCTACGTATTTGCTTACTGGCATTTTTTCCCCCTGATGGGGGGAGATATCTTGTCTTTTTTTTGTTGTTGTATACTGCTGTGTCCCTAGCCTATTAGAGAATGTCTGACACATAGTAGGGACTCAGTCAGTGTTTGTTGAATGAATTAATGAATGAGCAAAAAAACAATAAAATGTAAATTGAAACAACTAGGTACCATGTTATGAAACTGGGTATGTTGGAGGTAGTTAGAATCTTACATGTTAATGGTTTAACAGGAGTTCTAAATAGCATCCCAGTCTTCTGACCCAGTAATCTCACTCTTCAGGAGGCAAAGAAGATGCCTGTTGCAGGACAAAGCTTATCACAGCTTTGTTTAAAAACTGGAAACTCAGATTACAATAAAATATGATGTATCCCCCTAGAGTTACTATTATTAAAAGTTATAGTTAGAAAAACTATAGAAAGCTATAAAAACTGTGATAAATGGAAAACTGTTAAAAATTCTTCCTACTCAATGCAGGAATGTAAACATACTAGAAATTCACAGAAAAAAATTGTTAATGTAACAGTTGTGAGACTGGAGGAAATTTTTACATTTTTCCTGTATTGCTGTGTAAAGTAAATTTTTAAATTGGGAAAATGGAGTTCAGTATTTCTAGTCACTGATGGAATGTGTAATAAATTACACTAATACTAATAAGTTCCCTAATTAAAAATATACAAAAGATGTAATACCCCATGTTGATGGGGTGATATAGGAAAACCATGATCTTTTATACTGTTTCTGTCAGTGCTATGAATTATGGTACTTCAGGAGAGCAGTGGTGGTGATGAGAACCAGAAATTTTGCCCTGAGTCGTATCCTTTAGGATCATAGCACATAGGTAATTCTGAAGGACAGAATGCATGGTACGGAGATGCTTACAGTGATGCTGTTTATTGTAGCAAGGACTGGACGCAGTCCCCATGACTAGGCCCACGGCTTGAGCAGTGGGGCATCCATCGATTCCATGGAAGGGTTTTTGACAACCTACGTGGTTTTGTGGGGCCCAGAGACCTGCAGTGTGCACAGCACAGGGTCACATCAGGAGAACGCAGCCCACAGTAGCAGGCCCATGGGTGTGAGAACTGCCCACAGCCTCTCAGACAAGGGCAGACTTCTTCCAGATACAGAGAGGGCAAAAGGGGTCTCTTTCTGTTTTCCTTTACACTTTAAAGACGGTGCAGTGTGCATTTCACAAATGGCTCTCTGTGGGGGTTTGTTTCAGATCATAAAGCAGATGCAGCAGAGGATGCTGGAACTCAGAAAGACTCTGCAGAAGGAACTGGTGAGCACCTGCACAGTGGCCGCCCGAGCGTGGAGCCCCTCCTCTCTCCCACTGCCTTAGCCCTGCTTGGCGCTCAGTCCTTCTGGGTCCCTCCCTGCCTGATGGTGCCTCTCTCCCCCAGTTGACTGCTAGGGATCTCTGGGAAGTCAGATGATGGCTTGTGACCTTGGGCACATGCCCCCCTTCTCTGAGACTGTGTCCTTCATCTGAAAATGGAGATGACATACTTCATGAGGTGGTTCTGAGAATTGTACAGAACCTGTAGAGTGCCTAGCCCAGACCCAGGATGAGAGCAGCATGTCTCCTCAGGCTGAGCTAAGCACTGACCTGGGGAGACGTGTCCTTGACATGGGAAAAGGCAATGTCAAATGACCTCTCTCCTTCCTCTCAGTTGGCCACCTCACCTGGAGGAGCTGAGCCTGCCACAGACTTTGGCCCTTCCTTCCCCATTCGGGACCCCTTTTGCCCCACGATGTGCCAGATGTGGCTTGGGAACAGCAGGTGATCACAGCTTGGGCCAGGTGAACCTTCGATGGCACATTGGTTAAACCTGCTTTGAAGGGTTCAGTGTAGCGTCTTTCCATTGGTTTTTCAGAAAATTAGACCTGATAATGAGCTTTTTGAGGTCCGGGAGAAGCCTGGCCCTGAGATGCCAAACCTGGCCCCGTCTGTCACAAACAACACTGACCTGACTGATGCTCGTGAGATCAACTTTGAGTACCTGAAACACGTTGTTCTAAAATTCATGTCCTGTCGAGAATCTGAGGTAAAGGGCGTTCCACTTGGTTTTGGGTATTGAGTCCCAGCTCTGCGTCTGCCCTGCATAGTTTCCCACCCAGCACTGCTCTCTCTTCCCTCTCCCACAGTCCAGTCTGTCTGCCAGTGTGGACCCTTAGTTGTTTCTTCAGCTGGCATTGACCTGTTGACTGAGCATCTGGTAGTGAGGGGACCGTGTGGGAGATGGCTCCACTTCTTAATGCTGACTTGGATGCCAAAGCCAGAGTCCATGGAAGTGACTCTGCCTGCCATTCTGGCATCCTGCCAAAGAGCAGGAGAGCTGCTGAGGATGTCCTGTTGCTCCTCCCAGTCCCAGAGTAAAGATGGTGGGGGAGAAAGACCCCAGAATGCCCGACTTCACCTACCACCCGGTCGTTCCTGACCAAGTCAGGAGCACACACCAGGATTGGAAACAAAAGGAAATTCTGCCATTTAGGGTCCTAATTCCTGGCTCCCTCTTCCTGCCACCAAAGCCCATGGCAGCAAAACTTACTTTGTTTCAGGCTTTTCATCTTATAAAAGCCGTGTCAGTGTTGCTAAACTTCTCACAAGAGGAGGAAAACATGCTCAAAGAAACTCTGGAGTATAAGGTAGGCATCCCTGGTCTGCTATGCCACCCTCCACAGAGTGTAACTGGAAATGCCAGGCCCAGTAAAGGAGACTGGCCCCGGAGAGCGATAAAGCCAGAGCCATATGGGTAGCTTGGAAGTTGCTTTTGGATAATGAATGATTCAGCCAATATTTAGAGGACGTCACCGTCTAACAGGCCTGAAACTTCTAAAGCATTTTCATTGATACCATTTCATCAACAGCCTAAGTCTGGCCCAATGCCTGGACTTTTTAAAAAAAGAAAATGTTTAAAAAGTAGTTGCATAAAACACTGTAATTTAAATAATAATAAGGAAAATTATCTACAATTCCACTACCTTGTTCTTGTCAACTCTGCTTTTCTCCCATTTCCCTCCCCTAGTTAGAATGGGCTCTTAGCCCTGCAGACTGGCAACTGGAACCATCTTCTTCACCTCTGGCTTTACAGCCAGAGTCAGGATGCCTAGAGGGTGGGAGGGGAGGCGCAGGGATGGGAGGGAGCTGTTTCAGTTTCTTCTGCACCAAGTCCTGATTCTCATCTTAAGAGCCTTTTCTGTTTCAAATACAGATGTCATGGTTTGGGTCCAGACCAGCTCCCAAGGGCAGCATCCGGCCATCTATCTCAACCCCTCGGATACCATGGTCCTAGAGGGAACCAGCCAAGGGTGGAGCTCCATGGGTTGACACTTTTTCTGTGAAAAGAACACTAACACACCAGTCTGGGTGGGTTTTTTAATCACCATATCTGCAGTATTTTGTACAAGTGTCTAAACATTGTTTACAAGACTCAAGTCCCCCTTCCCTGCAAACTGACATGAATGAACCTCAGGAGGGAGCTGGTCCTGTCATTCTGGACGCCCAATCAGAGGGTCGCAGCACTACCCAGATTTCCAGTGCTGCTAAAATCCCAGCTCTGGTCAGCACCCCGTCTGCACCTGAATCCTTTAACTTTGAATGTTAGCACTTGAAACTGTCAGCGAGGAGGCAGCCGATTCATCAGGTAGTGGTGATGCTGGAGGAAGAGAGAGCCCTTGGAAGTGGTGCCTGGCAGGCCAAGCCCGCCTGCTTCTCCTGCAAACAGCCAACTTAGTTGGGGTGTTCTTCAAAAATTCCCCTTCCCTGTTAGCATGTTTGGGTTCAGATGAGAAGAGGCTTCTTTATCCTCCCTCTCAAGAAAACAATTTCACCTTGTTTCTGAAACCACCTAGAACTTTACACGCGGACATCTCTAAGGTACTTCAGGGCCAGTTTGGGTTAATGAATATGCGACTTTGAGATGGTATGTCACTTTAATTAAAGAAAACTAGCAAATATAAAAAATCATAAGGATAGTACCAAATACACTTAATGGCCTTTCTAATTAACATACTGTCTGGATAGGTTGCTGGTAAACCATTTTAAAATATTTTTTATAGCTAAAGTTCTTCACTATTGTAAACCTGTCTTCTGTATTATAAAATCATTTAACTGGTGTTCTTAAAGGAAAATCAGAGCATCAAGAGGGTATTAATTTCGAAAATTGGGATTCTTGTCCCTTTGTAATTTCACTAGCTTTCTATAGCATCTGCTTCTCTCTGAAGCAGTGGTGGTATTTTATTTGCTTTGCCCTTAATTCTGTGTTGTACTAACACTGAGCAAATGCTAATCGTATTTTTTCTACTGTGAAGGACAGTCTGGCACATTCAAAGGCAGCAGCAGCTGACCCTCCCCCTGCTTTGACCAAAACAGTGGAAGCAGTCTGCCTTGAATGTAGAGCCAGCACCTCCCTCCACCTTACCCCTACATCCACACATGGAGTCCAGACAGCCCCCAGTCAGCTGTAGGACTTGGCAGCTTGCAGATGGCTCTGGCAATGGCTGCTAGAAAACTTGTTTCATTATTACGGAAGAGGGAACACATTTGTCCTGGATAAGCCACAATTTGTAATCTGGAGGCAAACCATTTATTGATTTATAGTTTGATGAAGGTTTCACTGGTTAAATAAAAAACTGAATTAATAACTGAAGCTCCTACTAAATTTATTAATTTATTACCAATTACCCAGTGATATAAAATTGTTTCTCAATTATGCATAAGGTTAAAAAGAAAAAAAAAATACACACACACACACATAGGAGCTCCGGTAGCACAGTGGCTAAGGCACTTGACTGCTAACCAGAAGAGGCTGGCGGTTCAAACCCACCAGCCACTCCTCGGAAGGAAGATGGGGCAATCTACTTCCGTAGTGATACTATACTGCCTCAGAAACCCAAGGAGGGCTCGCTATGAGTCAGGTGCGACTCGACGGCACATAACAACAACATATATATATATATATATATAAATTAGAAAAACAAAGATATTTCCATGAACTTGGGCAATATCACCTTAGTCCCAACTCATTCTGCCATTCAGACAAACCATTTTCTGGTTACCTACCTCCTCAGGCTCTTCCTTGCAGATGTCTGTCCCTTGGTAGAATGCTATTTGCCATTCACCTGGTGGGCATATGAAATACAAGTCCCTTCTGTTTTGTAATTTTGACAAGAGGTTGTGTCTTTTAAAAATAGGATTTCCTCCTTTTCATCTGTTCCAGGAGAGAGGTCTGGGTAGGTCAAAGCTTGCCAGAAACAGCTATACTTTTGTAGAAGCCATGGCTTCTCCAGCCTTTGAGCTGCTGCTCTCACACATGCCGCCCCCATGCCTGACAGTTTTAGGTGTGGTTGTGGGGCCCACCACTAAGTTTATACTTGCTTAGGGAGTAGTCACTCTGACTAGTCTTTCCTCCTGCATGTTGAATTTTCTTCAGCTTTAAGAGGAAGAGTAGAGTGAATATTCTAAGTGATTTAATGCACTTTTACTTGTATAAAGCTTTCTGTGATAGACAGTATATGTAGCCCTTTATTTGAGCATTGGATCTTACAGTGCGGGTTTTTACTTGGTATGGCTCTCCTAGCCATGGCCTTTGACTCCCATGAGACAACTAGGTGGAACTGTATTATTGTGAGGTGCTTACAGTCTTCCAAAGGGATTGGATGGCTTGTTAGTAATGTAAATAAGGTACAAGGTACCTTTGTGGAAGTGGGACCATGGAAATAAGGTGTATGCAACCCTAATGTGGGGATTCAGTTCTGTCATTCTGCTAGGCTTAAAATGAGCCCTCCTAGAGCTCTGGTAGCATAGTGCCTAAGGCACTTGACTGCTAACCAGAAGGCTGGCGGTTCAAAACCACCAGCCACTCCTTGGAAGGAAGGTTGGGCATTCCTACTTCCGTAGTGATACTGCCTCGGAAACCCAAGGAGGGGTAGCTATGAGTCAGGGCCGACTCCATGGCAAGTAACAACAACAACAGAGGCAGAAAGGGAGATCTCACTGCCCTCAGGAGTGAAGAACGGGAGGTGGAGTGGAACACGTCCTTGGAACCAAGATCCCTGTGCTGGACCTCCTTGGCAGAGAGATGGCAGCAGTGGAACCTAGAGGCATAAGATAGAGCTGCAGGCTTGCCAGCCCATGAAGCAACAAAGCTGAGTGCCTTTGAGCAGGAAGCTTGTCGGCAGACTGGGGTGCACCTATCGGCAAAGCTTAAAGAGCATTGTTAACACTTGCCCGAGCAGGGCAGAGGCCAGGCCAAGGGCCAAAGAGAAGCATGCCTGAGGGCATGGCCAAGGGGAGGCTGTCCTGATCAAAGAATTGTATCCTGAGCGTTCCTGCACCTGAATTATAACCTGTTATTTCCCTAATAAATCCTGTATTCATGAGTACTGTCTGAGTTCTGGCTGGCCACTGGCAATGAATTAATTATTGAACCCAGCAGATAAGTAGAGTGCTGTGGGACAGAATGGTGTTAGAATTGGTAAAGAGGTTGGAGGGTGGTGGCCTCGTAGTAATCAGGCTTGGGTTGCTGGTGGTGATTCTGTCTCCCCTTCGTAAAATTAAGAGGTCAGGAGGATGCCCTTTTAGCAAATCTTGATATTGTAAATAGAGATTGTATTATCTAAAACGGTTGTAGAAAATTCATTTGTGGTGCAATACAGTTTTTGATTAAACCTCTTCACTCCAGATACAACTACAGTGAGTTTTATTTGCTAGTCTGGAATGCCAGTGTGTGTGTGTGTGTGTGCGCGCGTGTGCGTGAGAGAGAGAGAGAGAGACTTGTTAAATTTAGTACATTGTGTCTTTTTTTTTTAATTGTGATTTGGGTGAAAGTTTACAGAGCAAATTCATTTTCCATACAGCAGTTCATACACATTTTGTCTCATGATATTCGCTACAATTTCCCACAATGTAAGAGCTCTCTTCCCACTTCCTCCCCATAGTTACCTCTTCCCTGTTAATTTAGTATGTTGTGTCTTGTTCTGAATACCTCAAGGCCAACTTCACGGGCTAGACAACCTTTGTCTTTCAGAAAGAACCTCCCAGGATTGGGTTTGGTGAATGTATGTAATTTAATGAAGTCCATGGCCCAGTCTTACTTCCCAAGAATTATGGTGGTTCTGCAAAGGAGCTAAGTGGATGGGAGGAGGATTGTGTCCTTTCTTGGGTAAGTCTATATCCCAGGCCCACATGACTGGGAAGAGCTTCAGGAATATTAAAGAAGCTCTGGTGGCATAGTGCCTAAGGTATTTGCTAAACAGAAGGTTGGTGGTTCAAACCTACCAGCTACTCTGCAGAAGGAAGATGGTGCAATCTACTTGCGTAAAGATTTACTGCTTCAGAAACCCAATAGGGGTCGACTCAATGGCAATGAGTGTGGTTTTCTTGGTTTTAACATTAACAGAACACAAGCTGCAGTAATATGTGCTGTCATTGTTAGTAGTTACAGGAAACAATTTGCCTTTATATATATTGTGTGCTTGCTACCTGTTTCTGGTTTTTTGTTCTTTAAAGAAAACTTGTCAGTATAGTGGTAAGAGTATTCCTTCAACACAGCTAAATCCATGGCCCCAGACACAGCATCAGGAGACACTGACCAGGCATATCTGAGGCTACCCACAGGACTCCCAAGTGCAGTCACAGAAACTAAAGACTTCTAAAACCTGGATCAATTATTAAATGTTTGGCACTTTATTAAATTAAATGAGCTCCAAAGTTACATACAAATCAAACGAGTAAGAAACAATAAATACTCAGCAAAATGCCTCTTTGTAGCAGCCAGTAGCAAGCACTACAGCCGAGGCTCATGGTCCCTCTGTGGCAAGAGGGCCTGTGGACTGCCATGCTCACTCCCCAGGGATGGCTAAATGGGGACTTGCAGGGGGTCTAACCCCTTCTACCTTGATATCCCTGAACAGTTGACCTCTCACACCCATCCATTCATTAGCATTTTTTAACATACATAAAACACACTGCAATGTACATACTAATAAGCCAAGAGCTTTATTGATGCAGCAGGCACTTTACAATGAACCCAAGAGACTCCGCCCTCTCTGGGAGGACGAGACTTCTGTACAAACCCTCGGGTTTTTTCCACACAAAAAAACAAGCTCTCCCTTTTACCACAGCCCTTGGATCTGCACCTGTCAAATCACCCCTCCCCCATTTTAAACAGGTAGTGCACACAGGTCCACCTGACCAAGGTTGGCCAGCCACTCTGGCAGACAGTCAAAATGTCAGTTCTGCGTTACTCGTAGACAAAGGCAGACTATCAGATCCTGCAAAGGATTTGGGAAA